AATAAAGCTGGCATTAGTGAAAGTTATGCCCCACGTCATGTGATGTAAGACGAGAGAATTTGAATGTCTATACAATTGGAAATCTCTTTAGTGTTCCTGGATGCGTGTTTTTACATCACGTGATGTCTCCCCAATATACATGTTGTTGCATTGTAGACATTTGATTTGATAAATCCCGGCATTTGAATTGGTGTTTGCTTTATTTCTCATACTGATTATATCTCCGATGTTCTTGGTGGTGGTGGCAACGATCTTGAAATGGTATTGTAGAATTTGAATGTGTTCTCAACATAATCCTCTTCTTTACTAATGTATTCAGTGCTACATGTACAAAGAGCTTTTAGGAAAAATCCTATAATTAGTGTAGATTTTATTCTCCAGTTGTTGTAGGAATAGAAATTGATAAGGTCATTTTTGTTAGTGGGTTTTCATTAAACTTTAAAATTTAATTTATTATCGGTATGTATTAATAGAATATTGAGGAAAGGTAGAAATCCGTGTGTGAATTCGATGGTTGAGTCAACCTTATTGAGTTTAGATATTATGTTTAAAAGGTTAATTTCGGGGATGAAATAAGATGACGTCATCAATGTATCTTTGGTAATGAGAGCTGTTAGATATGATAGAATTAGAGAAAACCATGGAGAATTGTGTTTAAAAAAAATATATATATATATATATATATATATATATATATATATATATATATACATTTGTCTACTGTCTTCATGGCATCTTATGTAAAATTAATACATATAACGATATGTATATGGTATAATATCCTGGGTGTAACAGTAAGATTGTCCAAATAGTGTAAAAGTAAAACTGTCCAATTGTTAGATGAAGAAACTGAACTGTTGTATCTTACAAATGTTTAAGATATTTTATTGAAATTCTGTGAATTCTCCAGGGTTTTTATAACACTACTAGACTGATGTATAATTACTAAGAAGAATCGTGATGAAATCGATTATAAACGAAAATGGTATTTTCATCATTAATTAATCATAGCTAAGGATCGAAATCTCAGCAAGTATTGAAATAAAGTTCAAATATATATATATATATATATATATATATATATATATATATATATATATATATATATATATATATATATATTAATTCAGGATTGTTTTTCCAACTTATACTGTAACCTTTCTAAATTTTTTGTCCTGGATTAAAGCGTTGCCTCATACGTTTCACGAGCGATTTCATTTTCAATCTTATTTTCATTTCTCTTTGGACTGTCATAGCTGAAACTCATCTCCCATGTGCCAAACGTCTTGTGAATTGAGTTGGATTTTTTTCTAATTGATTTCTTTATCTCTAACTTGAAATGATAATCCCTCTTCCTGTTGTGATCTCCTGATCCAGTTTTCTTCTCTACTGTTCCCGCTTTTTAGAAGTCACTCACCATTCTCTTGATTGTTCTTGAATGGACTTTGAAGGTGAAAGTCAAGGTATGAATGTTGTTACCGTTACTGAAGGCTTGAACGAACTTTTTCCTCTCACCATTGTTTAGTTGGGAAGACATAGTGGGACTGATACAAAACGATTTTAACCTATTCTCTTTCCAGGTAAATAAGTCAAAGAGTTTTTGTGTGATTCTTACAAGTCGTCTCAAGATGGCTAATTCTCTTTTCTGAAAATCTGGTAAAGAAATTCAATTAGTTTAATGGTTGTTTAGATATTAAAAATATTGTAGGATGGATAATTATGCCGTTTCACGAGTGACAAGGCATAAGATATACATTTGTCTTATTTTTTCACGCCCTCTTATGCAAAATTAATACATATACCTTTTTTTAAATAACGTGTGTGGTATAATATATAGGTCCTCGGAATGTTAGCTCAAAGAACTGATTTCTAATTCTACTTCAGTTCGTTGCATTCCTTTACCCTTTCAATGAAATATTCACTCGCAAAACTAAATTATTATAATATGTTTGAATAAACGACGAAAGTATTGATAAGGCAAGAGAGAAAAGGCATTTCGCATAGTGGAAAAGGGACCTTTTTAAAACGTTATTTTTCGATTATAAAGAAAGGTTATCTTCGTGATAGACGAAGGATATCGTCTGTTTGCAGACACTAGGGCAAAGGTAGCGTGACTTAACTTTAAGAGCTCGGAGAAGGTGATAAATTCTGGAAAAGGACTTACAAAATTATTGCTTAATATATCGTAATGCTTTACAACATTGTGTTTAGTGGTTTTACTGCTTACACGTCCAGGTGTAGCTAACTGGAAGAAACGACGAAATAAACGTCTCGATACATTTATCTCCCCCTGAAAAGAAATATATAATACATTTGTCGCCCTTTGAAGAGAAATGTATGGTAAGAGAAATTTACGGTGAACGCTTAGCGACTCGTAAAGAGATTTCGTGTCGAATTCTTTTTATTTTCTTCCTGAAAAATAAACGAAAATCTACATCTACTAAGTGTTCAAAGAATTAGCACTAAAAATAAAACTTTTCAAAACGGAAACTTATAAATTTTGTATAACGCTACGCCTTAGAAACCCACTTTTTCTTCTGCCCAATTAGAAGGCGTTTTAGAATGCAGAGTTTTCTTCTAGCGAATAGGATGCCAATGAAGGCGAGAGAACCCAGTCTAACCTGCTATTTGCCCAATATCTAGGAATCAGTTTACAGTCAAAAGACCTGTAATCTATGAGGGTCGTAGGGGCACCACCCGAATTGCAGCAGTAGCGGTGGTGCTTCTTGAGGAAAGATAATCTAACGGAGCCGAACCCTCTCTAGGCTGGTTTTGAATTCAGAGATTTTTTCCTTCTCCTAGAGCGGTTGCCACCCAAGGCTATGAACTGCAGTCGCAGTAAATGAATGTGTTTCCTGAGGAAATATAACCTAACGGAGTCCAACCCTTTCCAGGCTGGTTTTGAATTCAGAGATTTTTCTCTCCTAGACCGGTTGCCACCCAAGGCTATGAAGTGCAGTCGCAGTAACAGAGAGTTTGTTTTTTTTTCCTGAGGAAAGATAACCTAACAGAGCCCAACCCTCTTCAGGCCCGTTTTGAATTCAGAGTTGTCTTTCTCCTAGACCGGTTGCCATCCATTTTCCTGTTTTTTACCTGTTTTATAGAGGAGAATCATAGATGGATTCATACGGTTATAATGTCGCTAATTAGTAAGATTCTAAGAAAGCACTAGAAACAAAGGGTGGGTTGAAGGTGGCTTTAATCCCATGAGAACATGGAGGCATGTGAATACAGTAGTACAGTGCGTCAAGCATACAACTGAAAAGCGTTAAATTGAGCTTAGTCCGACTTATACCAAAAGCAGAGGATCGAATCAAGGCATTAGTGATAAACTGAGACACTTGCTCATCACTACCCTATTGTGTGAAATTGTTATAAATTTCGTATAGCGTCCATAGTTGCTGGTTAGTAACACTGTAAGGAAAATTCTGGAATCAATGCGTTGTGTGAAGAAAGAGAACATGGATTGAGAACATAGTTAAGACTGAAAGCGCTACGCTTTAGCGATCCCCTTTTTGCCACTGAGCCATGAGCAGATATTCTACCCTTAGCAGATGGGCGATCAGACAGAGATGAACAGAGCAGATCAGACAGTCATTCTACACAACAGAAACTATGATATAGAATTTGAATAAAAATGTTGATGACAACTACCTTGAAACTATCATATGGATTCGGAATGTAGAATTTATAAAGAGTAAACACTTCAAATACCTCGGGGTATGCATCAGTTGTGAAAAAAAATACCAGTAGAAGACACGAGAAAGCTGAACATAGAATAGGCTGCATATTGGGTAGTTTCGCTCAGCCCTGCTAATTGCTACAAAAGCGAAACACTAACCTAAAAATAATTTAGTCGTTTTTTTTTAACAGGCCTAGATTGGCGGGTGGTGTATTGGATAGTGGCTTGCAATATAAAATCGGATAGCCGAGTTCGAATTTCAATCGGATCTGTTGAATTCACTTACGCGCAAATAACTTTGGGAAAGGTATTAATCCATTCCCCACAGCTCTGGGGTTAATATGTATTTGTATGCGGAATAAAAAATAATAATAATGTTTTATTTTCACTAGTTTACCCTTGATTATCGCCTCCTGATATCTACTCTCTAAGTCTGGACATCAAGAGGTGATGAGCTAGGGTAATTAAATTGATTTATGATGCCCACTTATTCTCAGAGATCACAATGCATTTACCTCACGCATAGTTTTGGCTTTCTTTCACTTTAACCCAAGGAAGCCAAGGAGTGCACGGTTCTACAACGTAACGTGTCGTTAAGAAAATTTTCCACTTTGTGTAATCAAGTCTATATTTTTTCAGTGGATAAAAGTTTTCGACATTGGCAAACATAATATAATATTTATTTAAATGCATCGTATTTTTTTTTCTATAAGGACGTTTTAATTCAATTCTTGTAACGGTAATAATTTTAACATCTCTATTACATTTCATGCTGCGATAAAGGCTTCATTATTTATTCTCCCAATGTTATTAGTAAAATGATAGTTTTCCAGTCAATTGTGAAAATAATCGAATTTTATTTCGAATAATAAAAGCATTAAAATAATCGATATTTTTTAAATTTTCCATTTTCCCGTCTCCATTTTTCAATTGCCTTTGTTTTTCTTTTTTTTGGTTTGTTTGTTTCTTCCTTCTTTCTTTGCTTTACTTCTTAGCCTTACTTTCTTTTCTTTCTTTTTTTCTTTTTTGCCTTCTCTATTCCTCTCTCCTTCTTTATCGCTTTTCTTTCCTTTTTCATTGTTCAGATTTTTGTGCCTCGACTCTTGGTCTCTCTTTCACTCTCATTCGTCTACTTTTACCTCCTTAAGTTCTCTCTCTCTCTCTCTCTCTCTCTATCTATCTATCTATCTATCTATCTATCTATCTATCTCTCTCTCCCCAGAGACTCGACTGAAAAAAAAAATGAGCATTTCTGTACCCGAGCCAGCTTTTGCGGGGGCTGGGTAAATTTTGATCAGTGGCCCGTGTGGAAACGCAAATGGGGCGACCGGTAAATACCAGTCTCTCTCTCTCTTTCTCTCTCTTTTTCTGTCTCTACTTGTGCAAGAAACTATCTATCTATCTATCTATCTATCTATCTATCTATCTATCTATCTATCTATCTATCTCATTCTTTTTTAATATCTATCTATCTATCTATCTATCTCATTCTTTTATTCATCTTCTATATCTATCTATCTTATCTCTTTTCTCTTTATTTCTTCTATTTTTATATCTACGTTTCATCTTTGTTCTTTTTCTTACATATTTCCACTCTCATTTCTTTATAGCTTTTATTTTCCCCACTTCCCGTGCAATTGTTCTCAATCTCATAGTCTTTCGATATTTTTTTGTCTCTTTTTCATGTATTTTCGTTTTCGATTACTTCCTTACGTTTCTAATTTCACACTTTTGTCAGTCTCTACCATCTCTCTCACTCTCACTCTTTCTCCCTCTCCCTCTCTCTCTCTCTTTCTCACTCTCTTTTTATTGCCTTCTTTATCGCACAGTGCATTTTTCTCTTTCTTCCATTCATTTCTACTCCCTTTATCTTTCCCGTTCGCTTTCTGCCCTTCCACTCTTTTTAGTTTCTATATATTTTTATCTCTTTTATCTTCGTCACTTCCGGTCCAGTCTTTCGCTACCCACCCGCTCCTCTCTCCTCTTTTTCTTGTCTTCTCATTTATATAATTTCTCATATTCATATACTCTCTCTCTCTCTCTCTCTCTCTCTCTCTCTCTCTCTCTCTTCCTATTCATTCCTTATTCCTGTTCCTTCTTCTACTTTTTTTCTCTTTTTTTTTTCCTCGTTCCCTTTTCCACTTTCCTTCTGCATAAACCCACAATTTCTCTCGGCTATTTTTGTTCTTAGCTTCTAATCTCCGGCTACGTGCTGTGCAACAAATGATGAACAACTATTGCTAGTGAATTTGTGTCTAAAATAGCATCGTATATAGGCGCGCCAATATATCTATAATCTAATGCAAAAAAGAAATCTGTCTATGGGAGTCGGTTTTGTTTTCTATCTAGCGCATTCTGTTCATATAAATATATATATATATATATATATATATATATATATATATATATATATATATATGAAGAAATATAGTTTTAAGGTGTGCTATATTTACGGGATAAAGTGCTCAATATCAGAGTTAGAGCGTATGAAAATATAAATATAATATTCATTCTAGACGCAATCGTCAGGCCGCCTGACGATTGCCTCTAGTAGCATGAAACAGCCTGTCCCCTCTGAGTGTTTACTTCAATGTTCACTTTTATATTTACATATATATATATATATATATATATATATGTGTGTGTGTGTGTGTGTGTGTGTGTGTGTGAATATATAGAAAATAGGAAAGAACTCGTTAGGTAAACAATCCGAAGTTCTTTAGTAATTTTGTTTATATATATATTATATATATATATATATATATATATACACAAATATTTAAGTAAGTGCTCTGTTTATAATAAACAGTATTAACAACATTTACCTGCCTGAACGTCCGAGAAATTTCAAACAAAATATGCGTACTCCGACTGGAATCGAACCTGTATCCTACACACAACCGTCATATGGCCTAATGTGCTACACCATTTACCTATGAAGTAGCGCCTGGTTAGCAAGGTTGATTTTAATGCTTTTAAACTACAAACTTCCCATGATTTCCCTTGAAAGTCCATATCTGTTCGAAGAGTATCTTCAACGTAAACAAATGTCGTGACACACTATGAAATGGACTACGTCCGACAATTTCGTTGCTAAGTTCGCTGGTGATACTCCTACAAGTATTCGAAACCCCAAGAGCCACGTCTTTCTTCTTTTCTCCCTTAGCCGCTTGCCATGAGCATTAGCTGGGTCAAGCAAGAATATACAAGTGATAGATAATCATATATAGTAACTCATCTAGTCTAGATAAACCCTCAACAGAATGCAGAATAACTCCCCCCCAAAAAACAGGATGTCTCATCAGCAGTGCATATCCATCAATGAGAATCGAACCCGGACCATTTCATTACAACACAAGCGTCATACCAACTGTACCAATTGTCCTATGTGCAGAGGAAGAAACTGATTAAACCCGATAGCGCCGCTACTCACCAAGTTCTGTGGTGATACTGCTCCAAGTCTTCGAAATCATACGACTTGTGCCCCAAGTATAGGGTTACGTTAGGGAGCCATTTCTCTATATAGGAGTAAAAGATAACGTTTACCCCTAGTCTTGAACAGGTTCAGATTGTAATAATCGGGTAAGCATCATCTTGAGAGTCGATTCCACAGCGCAGTCATTTGCTTAAAGAAGCTTGTCGAGTGGAACTTCTCACCGATGGAATACGGATGGAATGTGAGTGGTTATCTGCTATGTAAGTGGCCTGGCATGTTCTTTCCGGGAAGGTTTGACTCGGCAGGACTAGGGAATATTGTTCGTCCGAGCACTTTCCGTGGAAGTAGAGGTAGTGCAGCAGGAGGCTTGGCACAACTCGACTGTGGGAGAGAGGTAGGAGGTTGGAGATTAACTCGCCACTCACAGGATCTCGAAGACGCTTTTTAACTCTATCAAGGCTGCAGAGACTATGACAACAGTACAACTTTTTTTGGCCTCATCTCGCTCTTGTAAAGGTAGAGGATAGTAGGAGGGGTCAAGTCCTTACTGGAGCGGTACAGAAAGCCGACATTTTTACCTGCATCCTTAGCAATGGATCGTATGTACGAGTTCCACTTGAGGACTGGTGTGAGTATGAGGCCAAATATCCGTTCAAGGCACGGTTCCTCTCCTAGGGGACATCTATTAACCCGGATTAGTGGTAGTTCTGCGTTAGAACGGCGATGATGGAAAATAACTAGTTTGGTCTTCGAGGTATTGAATGTAACCAGGCAGATTTTACCCTATTTGGTAGTTTGTGCAAGATCGGAAGATTATATATATATATATATATATATATATATATATATATATATATATATATAATTATTTATTTAAAAATATGATTACATCGCTACATAAGGGTTATCATGTTTCAAAACAGGAGCCGAAAACTTCAGTATAATTATTTGAATTAAATTGAATTAAAGTACCAAGCTCTGCTCCATATTCAAGCGAAATTTTTTTGGAATATCTAATTCCAGAAATTTACGCGTTTTATAAGCATATTCATTATTAAAATTAAAATTACTCTGGTAACGGCTAGAGCAGTTATTTAAAGAAAAGGGTCGTGAGGGTTAATAATTTGTATCAATATCTCATCGTCATCTTTATACTTATATATTTAGATAATAAGGACAATATATTATACTTATATATTTAGATATTGAGAACATCGGGCTGTACAGATATGACGGGTTCATGGTAGTGAAGAGTTCCACTAATTTTAAAATAGAGAAAATTAGAAAGATTATATATAGTGAATTTAGAAATCTAAATTTAAAAACAACGGTCTGTACTAAATTAAAAAGGTAAACTTCCTCGACGTAACTCTAGATTTAACAAACAACACGTACCTACCTTATAGATAACCTAATACTAACCCCTTATATGTACACCCTAAGTCAAACCACCCTTCATCCATAATTAAACATATACCCTCATCAATAGAGAATAGAATCAGCATTAACTCCGCTAATAAAGAAATATTCCAACAACAGAGTAATTTTTATAACGCAGCCCTAAAAAATAGTGGATGCAAAAATGCTAACATCAATTATAGAAACAAGTGTACTAACAGGAACAGGAAAAGAAAAGAAAAATCATTTGGTATACCCCTCCGTTCAACCAAATGGTTAGTATTAAGCTAGGACAGAAAATCATAGCTTTAATTGAAAAACACTTCCTACTAATAGTAGACTTAGTAAATTTTTTAATAAAAACACCCTAAAATTAAGTTACATTTGCACTGAAAATCTAGAAAGTATAATAAAAAAAAACACAATAATAAAATCCTGCATAAATCCCCATGCCAGAAGAGTATTAATAAAACCCCTACATTTAAATTAGACAAAAATAGTGAAAAATTATGTGATTGTATAAACCGAGAATACTGCCCATTGGAAAATAAATGCCACGTAAAATCTGTGGTATACCAATGTACTATCTCATCCATTGAGAGTCCTAATACTAATATGATATACATTGGGTCTACGAGGAATGAATTTAAAACCAGATGGAGGCAGCTTAAGTGCTCCTTTAACAATATAAATAAAAGAAATAAGATTATTTATTAAACAATAGACAACGAGTTAACGGTTTTTTGCCGACATCATCAAATTTTCGCATTGAATAATTAGCATAAAAAACAAACAAACAATAAAATAATAAATACAAATTTTAAACTCCATAGTCTAAATAAATAGTTTAAATGCACTACCCAATAAAAAAAAGATAACGCTTTATGAAGTCGTCAAAAAAAACAAATGTTAGCGAATTATGACAGTTTTTTTTTTTTATATACACAAAAGCCTTTAGGGAAAAAATAAAAAATAAAATAAAAAAATAAATAAATCTCCATACAACGGACAAGACGATGTCATCTTTCGCTTTAAATTTAGACACCCCAGCCTTACCCTGACTTGACGTCTTTGACTGTAACTGAGATATTGATACAAATTATTAACCCTCACACCCCTTTTCTTTAAATAATTGTTCTAGCCGTTACCAGAGTAATTTTAATTTTATTAATGAATATGCTTATAAAACGCGTAAATTTCAGGAATTAGTTATTCCCAAAAAAATTTCGCTTGAATATGGAACAGAGCTTGGTACTTTAATTCAATTTAATTCAAATAATTATATTGAAGTTTTCGGCTCTTGTTTTGAAACATGGTAACTCTTATGTAGCGATGGAATCATATTTTTAAATAAATAATTATATTTATACTCTACTTTTGTATCGAGCACTATTTTTTTAAAATAATTACAAAAATACTAAAGAACTTTGGATTATTTACCTAACGAGTTCTTTCCTATTTTCTATATATTTTACACACACACACACACACACACACACACACACACACACACACACACACACACACACACACACACAACCTGGGTTTTATAATAAGTATGATGCTTTTCCTTATAGCCAAATTCAGATTCCTCCGAGACGGTATGGACAGATATTGACTAAGCCAAGCTTTGTCCAAAACACCATTAGATGGAGGCAAGAATCAGTTTTCTGGTTTTTGTGATTTCAGTGGGCTCGCAGAGTAGAACGCGGCAGATTTTTCAACTCCCGAGTGATTCTCATTCTCGATTAAATAATTCTAATTTCTGTCTCGCTATTGTTCTTGTGCCGAGCTATATCGCACAAACACATACACATACACAAATATAAATCACATCCAACGACAAGCATTCTACATTATTATAGACAATTTACAAATCGCAGTAATGCGACAATTTTGTAACCGCTCTATGTTCATGCAGTCAATTTTGGGCTCTTTTGGGAGAAACGGATCCCAGAAGTATTCTTAAGTCTCCTCAAAACTCGCTCGCTAATTGGTCGATGCCAACCAATCAGATCGTCTGCACGTGAAGAATAATTCTTCCCGCTCAGCGATCTTGATCCTATCACATGATTACATTATCTATAAACAGCAAACACAAGCCTGTTGCTTTATCTTCTACCTCTTCTCTCTTTCTCTTCTTGCTGCAAGATGTAGTCCCAAAGAATCATCGTCTCGACCATGGGCGGTCAGACGTTAAATTATTATTCATGCATTCACGTACGTACGAACTATTACGAAATTTTCCAAACTTTACACTCACATAATCTTTTTCTTACACAGCAAACATCTTCTGAGAACAGTCATTATAAACATTCTTCCAGTGAACTTTGAAATATAAAAATAATAGATAAAGA